TGCAGGCAGCTGGGGAGTGAACCAGTATATGCAAGTGCTCTTGCTCGCTCGCTGTCTGCCTTATAAATAAAATTATTTTTAAAAGGCTTATTCTTTTCCTCTCTTCAGTCACATGTGGGTTAGAATTAGCCAGACAGGAATCCTTACTAGCAAACGTGTGCACACAGGCACACACCAGTACACACGCAGTGCGCACGCATTCCACCCCCACACGCTGAGAGGCAGGTGCGTCCCTGTGCATGCACACACAGGCAGGGGTGCACGCACGCACAGCAGGTGACAAGGAGCCTCTGGCTCCGGGCCCCATGGCGCGTCACTCCAGCCCTGTGAGCGACTGGATGGCTGCAGCCCCTGCACGTGCATGGTGGGGTGGGGGCTGGGAGGGCCCCATGTGTCCCCAGGGGGCTGCGGGAGGGGTGTCAAGAGAGTGAGTGGCTTCCTCTCCTGGGAGGAGGCACAATGGCACCTCCCCCAAGGCGGTTGGGGGGTGGGGGTGAAATTGGGGGATTCTGGGCTTGAATGGGGCATGCAGTCCCCTGGCTGTGGGACCTGGCTGTGGGTCAGGCCTTGGGCTCCAAATGGGTGGGGTCGCCCCCTAAAGCCAAGGTCAAGGTCAAGTTCAAGGTCCTAGGCATGGCGAATCCTGTGTTCTGTGGAGGCCTCAGTGGTTATCCTGTTATTCTCAAGAGCGCAAGGCGTGGGCAGAGGGAGCTGGGGGCAGCTGTGGCTTCTCGGCCGCCCTTGACCGTGAACCAGCGCCTCCCGGCCCTGAGGCCGGTGGAATTCCCACAGCTGGTGTTTCAAGCAGCCACACCTGAGCCCCAGGGAGCCAGAGAGAGAGAGAGAGAGAGAGAGCGCCCCAGCCCTGAGGCCCTGAAATGCCGGCTGGAGGAGAGTGCAGGGCTGAAGGATCAGAGAGCAACTTCTAGAACTGTCAGAACAGGGGCGGAGTGCGTTGCCGGCTGCTGTTCGCCGCGTGCCAGTCCCTGCTGGACTCCCGACTGCAGCCTCTGCTCATGCGCACCCTGGCAGCCGCAGGTGAGGACGGCAGCACCCACGCCAGGACGCAGAGTGAGGGCCCAGCTCCCAGCTCCCAGCTCTGCCTGCTCCAGCCCCCGTTTGGTGGGCACTTGGGGAGGGACCCAGTGGGCTGGGAGGCCTCTTTCTCTCTCCGTCTCTACGGAAAAAGAATAAATAAACACCTGGCACATGAGCGTGTGGCCTGGAGGTCAGAAATAGAAAGGGGGCTGGCGGCGCCGGCTGCTCCTGGAGGCGGCCGTGGAGAATCTGCTCCTGGCCTGGTCCAGCCCCAGAGGCCGCCCGCGTTCCTTGGCTTGGGTCCCTCTCGCTGCAACCTCTGGGACCAGGCTGCTTCCCCTCCCTCCTCGCAGGCCCCGGGTGACGGCGGGCGCTGGGTCCTGCTGGCTAACCCAGGTGTCTCTCCCCATCCCCAGACCTTCCCGATTCACTCCCTTTCCCGTGAGTGGCTCTGGGGAGTGGGACAGGTCAGCAGGGAGCCCGAGCACTGGTCACGGCATCTGGGCACCTAGAGTGGCCGGGAAACGCATCCCACCCAGGGACGTGCGTGCATTCGTGCGTGTGTGCCGCCATGGGAGTCCAGAGAGCTGTGCCCCTGAACCCGGAACCAAGCAGAAAGAGAGGAACAAGGGTTGGGGGAGGGGACAGCCGATTTTACCCAACAGAATACTTTCCAAAAATTACCCTTGGGCACTTTTAAAAGCAGGGGTGAGGAAGGAGAAAAGTGAGCGACTTTGACCCAGAGGCAGGCACGTGAACGCCAGCGCAGATGTTCACTGGCGCTCTACTGTGTGCACAGCCGCTGGGCGTCAGTGGAGCGTCTTTCGGAGAAAGGCAGGCTCTCACGGCTTCAGCGGAGGAAAGCGGGGCCTTGTACTCAATGTTACTCTTCAGTTTTGAAAACGACGTGGCGTATGATTTTATTTTTTCCATCAAACAAAAATAAAAATTTACTAAAAAAAAAGTTAGAGAAAGACAAGTAAAACCCCAAAAAGGATTTCCTGGGCCCTCAGGCCTGTGTTGGGAAGCAGGGGGCATCTCTGTGGTGGTGAGGGGATGGAACAGAACAAGGAGGACTCGCAGGCCACAGACCCCTGCGGCTGGGCCCAGACGCCCCCCACCCCCACCCCGTGGGCCGCGAAAGCTCCCGAGAGCGCCGGCCGGGCGGTTCTGGTCAGAAAGGTTGGCAAGTGTGGAGCTCCAGGGGCAGATGCGCCCGCGGGGTCACCGAAATGCGGGAACCACGCACCGTGGCAGGGTTTTGCACCAAATCCAAACTTGGTGCTATTATTGCTTCTGTATTTGGGGGGGGGGGGCAAGGCTTTTCCCCAGCCTCCACTATAGCCACTGCCGAACCTGGCCAAAGCCAGCAGCCAGGAATACCACCTGGGTCCCCTATGTGGGTGACGGGCCCACGCACCTGAGCCGTCACCTGCCGCCTCCCAGGCTGCGCGTTAGCAGGACGCTGGACTCTCGAGCAGACCCCCACATGGGGTGCAGGTGTCCCAAGCAGGATCGAGACCCCCAGGCCAGACCCGGCCCCTGAACCTCTAATTCCATTTTCTGTGAACTTTCTGAAGCTCTCCCGTCCTTCCTGGCAACGCTGGAGAGAAGAAGGCCCTTGGGCTCACAGGCTTGGAGGAGGCGTGGCCACGCGCCTGGTTCCCGCAGCCAGAGTGAGCGCCCGGTGTGTGGCCCAGGGCTCCGTCCTTGGACAAGCTGGTGTGGGAAAACTGCTGAGACGAGTTCGTGTCCTGGTGTGGAGGGCGATTTACGAGACTGGACGCAGTGGTGAGAGCAGAAGGGATGTATTTAAGTAAGAAGAGAAGGTGCTAACAGTACTGTTGGAGGTGCTGGTAGAGAGTAGGCTGGGCCGGTGCTGTGGCGCAGTGGACCACGCCTCTGCCTGCGGCGCCGCCAGCCCATATGGGCGCCGGTTTTGCGTCCCAGCTGCTCCACTTCCAATCCAGCTCTCTGCTAGGGTCTGGGAAAGCAGTGGAAGATGGTGCATAGTCCTTGGGTCCCTGTACTTGGGATCAGGGCAGCTCTGGCCATTGCAATCATTTGGGGAGTGAAGCAGTGGATGAATGGAAGATTTCTCTCTCTCTCTCTCTTTGCCTCTGCCTTTGTAACTCCGTGTTTCAAGTAAATAAATAAATCTTATTAAAAAAAAACTTACTGTAGTGGAATGAGAAGGCCATGCCAAGATGGCTGTTGGCAAGCGAGCATCAGTTACTCAGGAATGGCTTTGAAACCCACCTGGCAATGGAGCCTGCCTGGCAACAGGCTGTGATTGGTTAGGGCATAAACCACCCCTTGACCGGATTGGCTGCCTTGGCTATATAAGCTGCTGTACCAACTGAAATAAACGAGTCTGTGGGCTGCTCACCTCTGGCCCGCTTTCACCGAACTCCCGGGGTCTGTGTGGTGACTCCGTGCCTCTTGTCCCCACCGCACTCCTCCTCTCAGAACGAATCCACAGCAACATCTGGTGCCCAATGTGACAGAGACAGTGCGTCGGGCTCGGTGAGGTTCCCCCTGGATTTCAGCAAGTAGGCCCCTCCATGTTTTGTGTGCTGCTCGGTTCTGTGAGGGTGAGCACAGAACCCGCTCCTACGCCCCTTTCCTTGTCCTTGTCCTCGGTCTAAGTGACCCCAGGTTAGCACACACCACCCAGAAGCGTACGCCACTTCTTGGCTCCTCCTTTTACTTTTGGTTCGCCTGGTGAATTCACATAAGGGACTGATCATCCCAGAATTCGGAACCAAATCATCTTCCCTCACTCGAGCCAGGTCTCCCCCATGCATGCAGGGGCCTGAGCACTTGGGCCATCTCTGCTGCTCTCCCAGGCGCATGAGCAAGGAACTGGACAGGCGCTCTAAGCTGGATGTGGGAGGCCCGAGTGGCGGCTTCCCTGCTGCAGCAAATACGTAACTTGCTCCAATTTTTATTTTCATTTTATTTGAAAGGAAGAGAGCGCCCTAGAGTGAGCATACTATTCCCCTTGTCTGTCCTAAGATGGAATCCAGGGTGTCTCAGTGCGTTGGGACTTCCAGACCTCACACACACACACACACACACACACACACACACACACAAATGTTTCCCATGCGAATGGTGTCAGGCCATACACGGAGGGGCACTTTGCATGTTAGTGGCATATCACACACTTGTGTGAGCACACACGTGTGAACACGTTTTCCCACGCAGCCCCAGCTGGGCGGTGCTGGCAGAACTGGGTCCAGCTCAGGCACACGGACACATGCCCAGGTGGCCGAGGAGCTGGGGACAGTCATCACAGCCACAACTGCGACAAACCCCCGACGTCCCCTGGGACAGGAGCCGCTCCATCGGAGGGGCCAGGGGTCCCCTGGGAGATGATAGCCCCATCGGGGGCCCTACGCCACTGGGCCATTATTCAGCTCTCTCTCGCTCTCTCTTCCACCCTCAGGGCTCCTGCGGGGTTTGGCTCGGCCCTGCGGGACGGATTTCAATTCCCAGCCTTTGCCGGTGCCGTCCACTCCCCCTCCCTGGAATTCACGTCTGAGAAACGCGCCATCCGCCATGAGGCCGAGAACAGGAAGCTCGCGCCCACACAGCGGCGCCAGTCCGGCCCCTTTAAGGAGGGTGCACAGCAGGCCTGCCCGGCCCAAGGTGGCGGCTGACGGGCGCTGTCACTGGGTGATACCCTATCTCCTCGTGTCAGGGGCCCCGGGCGTCAGGGAGAGCCAGCGCGGCTGGGCGGCCTCTCTAGCTCGTCCGACCTGGAAGGCGCACGCAGGGCTGGAGCCCGGCAGAGCACAGCGCAACTCTGACGGCACCTTGACGCTCTGTGCCTCGGTTTCCCCGCCTGTGAAAGGGGACAATGGTTGTGAGGTCTGCTTGCGCTGACTTTTATGTGCCAAGTTCTAGAATCCTGCCAGACATGGTGATGAGAGTCCTCTCTGGTTCCAGAATGTTCCGGAATGTGGCTGGGCGCCCGTTGTCAGGGCGGCTGGGGCAAGGAAGTGTGTTCAAATAGGAGTTCGTCTTCCCTCCTCTTCCTCTCCTGGCCCCTTGCCACTGGGGAGCCCACTCCTGTTGGGTCCCTAGGCCTGGCTCTGTTCTGAGGATGTCTGTTGTCCCTGGAGGCACCTGGTGAGTCACTGGTCCCCAGGCCTGCCCAGCCCCTGTCCTCGCCCTCTCGCCACGGCCTCCACGCTCCCACTCCACATCTTCTGGGTCCCCTGGGTGGTGACGGCCACCCGCTCCAGGTACTCAGTGGCTCCCCACCTCCGGAGGACGGCCCCCTCCTCAGCGCCGCAGGGAGGGCCTTCCCCACCTGCCCCTGGCCACCGGGGTCCCAGCTCAGCTCCTCCGCGCTCCCGACTTCCCTGGGCAAGAGACAGAGCCACCCTAACCTCAGATGCTTCCCTGGAGAAGCGGGGGAGCCACCGGAGCCAGCGCGGGCGATGACTGGAAGTGCGACCTCGCGACAGCACCCGGCCGCCGCCCCATGCCCGCGCGGCTCCGTCCCAGTGGTCGCTCAGCAGAGGGTGTAAACGTGTAGGGGGCCAGGCACAGAGCGCGTGTGTGTGCATGTATGCAAGCAGGCGTTTGAACAGGTATCTGTGTATCTCTGTGTGTATGTGCCTTCATGTGTGCACGTATGTGTTCGTGTATCTGCGTGCATGTATGTTTGTGTGTGCATCTATGTATGTATGTGTTTGTATCAGTATCTGGATGTGTGAGTGTGTGTGTCTTCACGTGGGTGAGTCTGTGTGTGAGAGTCTGTGAGTGTAAGTGTGCATGTGCATATATTTGTGTGTCTTTGGGTGTGTGGGAGTCTGTGCACGTGTGTGTATGTGTGGTGTATATGTGCATGTGTGTCTGTGTGTAGTGTGCAGTCTGTGTGCACATGTGTGTATATGTGTGGTGTGTGTATATGTGTGGTGTGTGTGAGTCTGTGTGTATGTGTGTGCATGTGTGTATGCGTGGTGTGTGAGTCTGTGTGTATGTGGTATATGTGTGTGCACATGTGTGTATGTGTGGTGTGTGTGCATGTGTGTGTAGTGTATGAGAGTCTGTGTGCATGTGTGCATGTGTGTGTGTGGTGTGAGTCTGTGTGGGCACATGTGTGTATGTGTGGTGTGTGTATGTGGTATATGTGTGTGCACATATGTGTATATGTGGTGTGAGTCTGTATGTGTGTGCACGCGTGGTGTGTGTGTCTGTGTATGTGTGTACACATGTGTGTATGTGTTCTGTGTGAATCTGTGTGTACATGTGTGTGCATGTGTGGTGTGAGTCTGTGTATGTGTGTACACGTGTGTGTATGTCGTGTGTATGTATGTGTGGTGTGTGTATGTGTGCATCTGTGTGTATGTGTGTACACATGTGTGGTGTGTGAGTCTGTGTGTATGCATGTACATATGTGGTGTGTGTGTCTGTGTGTATGTGGTATATGTGTGTGCACGTGTGTGTATGTGTGTATGTGTGTGTATGTGTGGTGTCGTGAGTCTGTGTGTATGTGTGTGCACGTGTGTGTATGTAGTGTGTGAGTCTGTGTGTGTACATGTGTGGTGTGTGCACATGTGTGTATGTGTGTACACATGTGTGTATGAGTGGTGTCGCGAGCATGTGTGTGCACGTGTGTGTATGTAGTGTGTGAGTCTCTGTGTGCGTGTACATGTGTGTGCATGTGTGGTGTGTGCACATGTGTATGTGTGTACACGTGTGTGTATGCGTGGTGTCATGAGCATGTGTGTATGTGTGTGCACGTGTATGTATGCGTGGTGTGGTGAGTCTGTGTGTATGTGTGTGCGCGTGTGTGTATGTGGTGTGTGTGTGTGGTGATTGCTGGTTACCCCCTCCCCTGCCCCCACCCTGCCTGCAGAGCCGGGCAGTGCTCCAAGGGCAGCGGGGGAGCGGAGTCGCTGTGGGCCCGAGAGCGGGTGTTAAGGCCACGCTTGGTCCTTAGGGGTGGGATCTGAGAGCGGGGAAGGGCAGCCTGGCCCAGCACGGCCACCACCCAGGGAGCTTTCCCCACCGAGGTCCCCAAACTCAAACTGCCCTCTCCCCGCTCAGGCCTGGCTAAGTGCTCACAGCACCGCGGAGCAGGCACTCATGTAGGCCCATTTCCCAGATGAAGAAACCGAGGCTCCGACAGCAGCCGCCACTCCCCGAGGCCCTACTGGGGTGCCTGGCTGTGCTGTGACTCGAACCCAGATCCCAAGACACGGCTCATGCTGCCGTTCCAGCAACTGGGCTTGAGGGTCCGGCCCAGGCACTCAGCCGCCCCAGGCAGCCAGACAACCTTTTGGTGGCTTTTTCTTGCCTGGTATTTTTAGCTCTTGGTCACCTGCTCTGCTGAGTGGGGGGCAGCCCATTTTTGCCGGCGCCCTTCAGATGCCCGCGGGCTCAGCTGTCTCGGTGGTGCGCCTGGCATCCCTGGGCCATTGTCCTCTCGGCCAGCCCCAGATTCCAGGGACAGCTGCGCCCGACCCACCCCCAGCCCCTCCTGCTCTCCTCCGCCTGCCTGCCGGACCCCTTGGCTGGTCACCCACGCCGGGCTGGAGCTGTGCAAAGGCCACGTCCCCGGCTCCACACTCCTCCGACGGGGACGCAGGTGGACGGCCTCCCCCGTGTCTTTAGCTGACCGCAGCTGGGCCCAGCCACGCCCCAGCCTCTGCGGGTTCTGGCTGCAGGGCACTGTCCCCAGCCAGGGCTCTGCTGACGTTTGGGGCCAGATCATTCTATGTTATGGCAGGAGACGGGGCTCGGGGGTCCCCTGCATTAGAGGCACTGAGCACGACCTTGGCCTTGGCGTGGGCTGGGCTTCCCCTCTCCCGAACTGTCTGCTGACAGTGTCACAGGTTCCCCGGATGGCACCGTGGCCCCATCTGAGAACCCCCGGGCTGGGTCACTTGTTCATCTTTCCCTAGCCCCTGCAAGGCCCTCTGGCCCCCTGTTCCTCCCCCCCCTCATTCCCCGGGGCGGTCCACATTTGTTCATCTGATTCTCTGGTGGGCTCTGCACCTGCTGCATGGCTTGGAGGCCCGCCAGGGCGAGGCCCAGACCACCTCGCTCCTCATCGCTTCCTGCTGCGCCCAGCACAGCACCTGCACACAGTAGGCACTCAATAGGCGCTTGTTGAATGACTGAGTGACTTTCTCTGGTAGCACCCACTGCGTTCTCCTTTGTTGTTTTGTTAGCCAGAGCTGGGGCTGGGATTCACGCATCTTTCCAGGGACCCTGGTCCCTGGCACGTAGTGGGTGATCAGCTCCTACTACGTGCAGTAAGAAAGAGTGCTGTGATCGACTAGCAATGTCTGCCCCGGGGGCTGGGCCCTGAGTCCTGTGTCCTGCCTTGCTTTGTAGGTAGCCTCTGAGGCTCGAGGCAGAAAGAAAGTTCTAGGGCCTTGCTTGCCAAGGAGAAGGGGACAGAACCGGGGGCTGGGGGCAGCAGGACGGCGCAGCGGTCCTGGTCCCCCGCTGTCCCCAGCCACTGCCCACGGGTCATGGGGGAGGCGGCGCTAATGCTGCTGGGTCCCAGTTGGGGCCAGCGCATTTCACAAAGGACAAAAATAGACGGGGACGAGGAAGACAAAGAGGGGAGGAACACGGCCCGCTGTGGAATGAAGGTGTGGGGCCAGCAAGGGCCTCTGGGGTGACTCATGGGTTCACAAAGGGAACAGGCCGGGGGTGGGGGGGCAGCGCCCGGAGCCCTGCGCCAGGGGAACCAAGGGGGACAGGGCCCAGGGAGCCGGCCCGGAGGATTTGCCCCCTCGGGACTCAGGGATCCCGGGGAGGCGCCCCTGGGCTGCGCAGCCCCGCAGGGGTCCCGGGCCGCACCCCCACCATCTTGGTGCTCTGTGCCCCAGGCCCGCGGCGGGCAGTGGCAGCGGGAAGGCGTCCCCTCGGGTGCCCCAGTTAGCCTCTCGTGGTCCAGGCCCGGGTCAGAACAAGGTAGGGGCCGCGTGCAGCCCAAGCCCGGCCGGTCTGCTGAGACCAAAGGCCGCCGGCCACATCCGGGGGTCCCAGAAGCAAGGAGCCACGCGGTCTCAGACGCGGGCCGGCCGGGCTCGGCGCCGGCTCCCACGGCTGCAGGACAAGTTCCCGAAGCCCCAGCGGCCCAGAGCGCACGAGGAGGAGATGGCTGACTCGCTCCCAGTCATGGTCGCCACCCGTGTGTCTCTCGGCTCGCAAAGCGGCTCAGCGGGGCGCAGGGCGTGGGGAGGGAGCGCGGGGCAGAGTCCAGACTCAGGCCGCCGTGTCTTGAGTCCCGCAGCGCGAACATTCCCCGCCCAGGGCCGCACCGATGACTGCCTGCTGCGGACAGCCCGGGCACCTGCAGCTCCTGGCTCGCTACCCCCCCCCCCACTCCACCCCGAGTGTGCCCCTGGCCGGTGGAGGACGAATTGCGATTACATCTCCTGTTCTCCGTGTTGTGCTTGTTCACGTGCTAAGCACCTCAGATATGCGGTCCACGAGGGGGAGAGAGTTTTGCCTGCCCCCGTTCACTGCCCCGTCCCTGGCACCTGCACGTGCACGGACAACCTGGCCTCGGACAATGCACTCTCTGGCTCTTCGTGTAAAAGTCTGGGTCAAAGCTGGGTTTGCATGTCTGGTTTGGCGAGGCGTGTTGGACCGAAGGAAGCATGCTAAACACACAACCCGAGGGACAGCCCGAAGTTCCAGGAAGGATCCCTGGGGAGCCGGCCTTGAACGGAGGCCAGTTTCCCTCAAGGTCGGTCTTGGACAGATTTCTCAGCTGAAAAGATCCGTCCACAGCTAGGGCTGGGCCCTGCCTGAATCCGGGTCCTGCGGTGGACAGCGGGCTTTATTTCCTTCTCAGCTCTCCCCTAACCTGAAAAAGAGTCCCCACAGATCCATCTGGCCACCCAGAGCTGCACCCCAGTAACCTTTCCATCCCTTTGCGTGGAATGTCCCAGTTGAACCGTTTCCGGCGCCTGTGCTGCAGTTCTCCGAATTGCCAGCAGGGGGCGGTGCTACTCCAGGGCTCCGCGGAGCTGCGGCGCACTGGCCACGCAAGAGCGAAGCCGGAGGCGACTGGGACATCTCTCGTCCACCTGCCCCTGCTGGGACGGCCGGACCCAGCTCATCCAGAGGGGCGAGGATGGAGTCCAGTCTTCGTA